AGTCTGGTCTACATGTGAGTCCCAGGTCAACTGGAGCTACAGGGAGATCATATCTCAGAAAAAAAAAAAAAAAAAGATTGAGAGATGACTGATTGACAAGATGGCTTAGCAGGTAAAGGTGCTGTTAAGCCTGATGAGCTGACTTTGATCCCTAGCACCTACATGGTGGAAGGAGAGTGGTGTGCATATGCTCATACCTGCATGCACAAAATCACTGTGGGGTTCAGAGGGCAGCCTGGAGGAATCAGTTTTCCCCTTCTACCAACTGGGTGTGAGAGAATAAAAGAAAATGCTTAACCACAACAACAAAATTTTAGACCTAGCTATATGTGGTGGCTCATACCTGCAATCCCAGCACTCAGGAGGCTGAGGCAGAAGGATTATTTTCTTGTTTCATTTCAGATTTCAGGTAGTTCAAGTGCTGGACTACCTTGTGAGACCTTTTCTTTCTCTTTCTTTCTTTCTTTCTTTCTTTCTTTCTTTCTTTCTTTCTTTCTTTCCTTCCTTCCTTCCTTCCTTCCTTCCTTCCTTCCTTCCTTTCTTTCTTTCTTTCTTTCTTTCTTTCTTTCTTTCTCTCTCTCTGACCAGACTGGCCCTTCCTTTTTTTTTTTGTGCCTGCTTCTGCTTCCCGAGTGCTGGGATTAAAGGTCTGTGCTGCCATACCCAGCCTGAGTCCTTTTCTTAAAAAAAAAAAAAATCATACAGGGGCTGAAGAGGTAGTTCAGCAGGTAAGAGCACTGGCTGCTCTTCTATAGGACCTGGGTTCGATTCCCAGCACCCACATTGTGGTTAACAATAGTCTGTAACTCCAGTTCCAGGGGATCCTTCTGACCTCCAGAGGTAGTGTTGCAAGGCATAGGTGCACTTACACACATGTAGGCAATACACTCATACACATAAAATAAAAAATATTTTAAAGCATCACACAAAATTCATATTCTTAGACATGCAAATGGTCAAAATAATCACCATTACTACTTTATCTTTTCCTGGTAAGCCACTGTGCCCAAAGTGATGAAATAAAAGCAAGAAATAAATACAACAAAAAAGGAAAATCTGACTCGTTTTGTTTTTCTTATTCAGTTTTGTGGACCTATTTAATTTTATACATATAAAACACTGATTTTCAAAAAAAAATATTTTTATCTTCTGAGTATTTTGCCTGCATGTATGTAAGTGCACCATGTGTGCAATGCCCATGGAGGCCAGAAGAAGGCATCGGCTTTCCCAGAACTGGAGTTGCAAACAGTTGTTCAACTGCCACGTTGAGTGCTGGGAACCAAACCCAGGTCCTTTGCAAGAGCAGCCGGTGCTCTTAACTACTGAGCCATCTCTCTGGCCTCAAAACATTGAATTAAAAAAAAAAAAAAAAAAAAAAAAAACTTAAAAAGAAGAGGAATTCTTCTAGGGAACTGGTTGAGAACAGCTTGGTGAAAACATTGAGTCCTGTCAGTTACTTCTACTTTGGAATACTTAGTGTTTATCTGTTAAGAGTGAGTTTTAAAAAAAAAGAAGTCAGAGACTTTTAATGCAAAGTTTATTTTTATTTTTGTATTGCAATTGATGAATCCTTGAAAAACAGCCTTTCAAAGTTGACTTTAAAGGGCTCTACATAAATGATTACACTGTATCACTGGTAGACACCTTTTGGAAAATGCAGTAATTGAGTTCGTTATGAGAAAAAGTGCATGTGGATTGGCTGAGGAAAAAAGGTCAATATACATAAACTCAAGAAAGTGCTTAAATGTGCGCACTAGAAACTATGAAACGATGATCACAGAAGTATTGACAATGAAGATTCAAGTGAACAATTCAAATGAGACTCTCATAAAACAATAGTTTTAAAAAGGCAAACTTCTAAATTAATATTTTGTGATATTTGGTTTCAAATATATGTATGTGAACTAAAATATCAGGTTAAAGAAAATAGGTTAAAGAAAATGAACTCATTATACAACTGCTTTTTTTCACTGAGGAGGTAGCAAGGAAAGCATAGTTAGCAAGCCATCCCAGAAGCCGACACCACAACTCAATAGCTGCATCTCAAAACCCCGACTGAGGGAGTCCCTCTCCTGTCAGTTCACTTGTTCTCTTCCTTCCTAGCACGCATCACTTTCTGAAAGTCTCTTACGTATTGGCTTATATACCTAATGTCTATCTCCCTCCTACAATGAGAAAGCAGGGGTCAGCTGAAGGCATCCTGCATGTTGCCCAATAACGCCCACATCTTAAGTATTTGGTAAAAATTAAACTGATGAACAGTGACTGAATGAGGGACTGATTGGCCCAGTAAACAATGTGAATTAAGTAAACCTTTCTCACAAATATGGGACCATTTTCTGATCACTGGGAGGAATTTTCCTTCTGTCTAACAATTCTGCAAATGATGAGTTCAGGATGATCCCTGATGCTGGAACCTTCTTATTCACTGACTAGACTTATGGTAGATTTGTAGCCATGAGTAGCTTCTGTCCTCTGGGAAATTCTAGAGCATCTCCCAGCTTAGCTGAGGAGAAAACATGGTCCACCATGCAGGTAGGGCATGAGGTCTGGCATAACAGGAAAAGCGACCCTGGCAATGGAACAGCGCTGAACATTTGTGCAATGGCTGGCTTACGTGGCTTATATATTTTCCTCAAGAGGGCAGTTTGCTGTTACTTTGAAGCCAGGTTATTTCCAGCTTCACTTTACTTGAAACCTTTCAATAGCTCCACAGCAACTACAGAGAACTGCAAAATCTTCAGCATAGAATATAGTCCCCTGTGTAGGCAGCTGCCTCTCTCCCAGTACCCAGCTTCTCACTCATGAACCAGGTTCCAGAAAACAGATACCTCTTCCCTCCACCTGAGGAGCACTCCCCTCCTGGTCCACACTTGATTACATCTTTCCTTCCAGTGCAGCCCTCTGCTGTCTCACAGACTTCCTGTAAGATTTGGTCCAGGGCTGCTCCTAACACTGTTTCCCACTACTCTCTTGCCATGTTTTACCCAGACACTAGCTTCTTACAGAGAGATCCCAAAACTCCATTCCCCTTTGCTATGAGTGAAAAATATTTTCCCAGCTATTCTGTCTGCTTTCAGTTTTATTCAACTCTGCTCAGAGGTCGTCTCCAATGAGAGTTTGTCTTTGATGATCCTATCAAAGAAACTCCTGCTTTTCCCATCTTCCTAAATACAACGATTCCCCTCACTAGTATGGTATACAAGCCTTAGTCTTCTTTGTAGTAGTGATATAACATGACATCATGTATTTAGTAACGTGTCTGTCTTCTCCTAGAATGTAAGGTCTGTGGGGGTGGGTCATTTTGTTTACTGCTATATTTGTGAATGAGTAGCGCTTGTGCCTATCACACACCTTGCTTTGCTGGATACCAGGGGCTTTACGTTATTCATCTTAGTTTCCAGCTCCTTCTGTCACTTTTTAGTAAACTGGTCATACTCCTGCATGAATGAATGACATCAATTGCAATCACCCATGACATTTCCCAAGGAAGGGGCTCAGAATGCATGTACCGTATCAGCTGAAGAATATAACTATATTTCCACTGACCCCTTATCTGAAATTATTAGGACTACACATATTTTAAAATTCAGAACCATTCATTCATTAACATCCCTAAGAGAGCACCCTGCAATCAAACACATTAACAGCTTTGCAACAAAATGTGAAAGTCTCATTGTGATAAAGAATGCTCAAGTTAGCTTTGGCTGCCAACTGGCTCATGAAGGCAAACCTGAAGAGTAGGATTTTGGAACTGTGGGCCAGGAGCTGTGAGCATGTTTAGCGCAGAGATCTGTGAAGTATCTCCATGCTAAGTTGCATTTCTCACAATTGAGGAAGTTAGGAATGACTGATTTAGTACATTAGTTTAAAACGTCTATTTTTCTTATTACAACAAGCATGGATGACACATTTTAATATGGGTCATTAAGTATGAATGTAAAACTACTCTTTGCTATATTTAACAGGTGAGCAAACTAGGGTTGAGATGAGTTTGGCAGCTTGCTTGCATGGTTTGTAACTGGCTAAGTGGTATTCAAACTGAAGCAATCTCACAATAAAAAGCCACACTCTGGACCACCTGACTATCCTGATTTTATACAGCACAGGATAAAAGTCCTTATTCTTGCCAAGTTTCTTTGTGATGGTGGATCTAAGGAAAGTTTCTGTAATTCAAAAAAAAAGGGTAAAAATTCTCAGGACAAAAATTCCTCCTTATAAAAACAAGCTATACGTAGCCAACATTTAGTTGATATTTGTATAATGGAATAATTTGTTCCCTCAACTAACCCAATGTTTTATGTGTGTGTATTAAGAGAGGGTCTCACTATGCAGCCCAGACTGGTCTGGAACTCTATGTAGTTCAGGCTGGCCTTGAACTTACACCGATCTTCTTGCCTTTGCCTCCTGTGTGCTGGGATTACAAATATGCACCACCATACCCAGCTCCAATGTTTTAGATGTTTTTAATGAGAGATCAAGTGATTTCAGATAATAAAATATATATATAGGCACAGTAATTTGCCCTGGTTTCCTTGCAGAATCATGACCTGCAGGTCCTAGATCTGCTGTCCCCTGAAGGATATTGTAAGAAAGGGAGAAGAGACCATCAAAAGGCACTAGTTATAGATAATATGGAGAATGTCTCTTTCAGAACATCTTAGTTGACTGAATGTTTTTAAAGCTAAGCAGAGGTTGAGAAAATGTATCTGTGATGAACAAATCTTGAAACTGGTTTAGAGTTACCAAATATCACAGTGATATTTTGGCATTAAGAAGTAGTTATATAAGAGCAAATAAAGCTAAATTTTAAAACTCCTCATATAGGTCTACAGTATAGTTGAAGACAGTTTGAACCTTACCACATTTATGGGAAAGCCTCATATTATGAACTATACAACAGTAAGACAACAACAACAACAACACATAGTCACTTTACATACAAAGCAGATAAATATAAAGACGAAGTTTAAGAAATGAAAATAACATATACGCTAAAAAACATCACAACAGAAACGGGCTTTATTTAAACCAGACATGTGAATTCTTCAATTAGCATCAACTTTTTCAAAATTTAAGGATATGGAAATTAAAGATGGTGCTCCACAAGGCAGGGAAGAGAGATTTACCATGGAGTAACTTTATTGCCTAAAAAAAAAAAAAAAAAAAAAACCTTTCAAGGGAACCCTCAACCCCAAAGATCATTAGATCTCACGTAATCAAGATCCTCATTTGAAAGTGACCCATCTGTCTTAGCGAAAACCTTCCAAAAGGAACCATTTGTGTGTGTGTGTGTGTGTGCGCGCATGCACGCACGCATATCATAAATTATATTTGTTTTAGAAATGAAATATAGATCCAGCTTAAAATATTAACACTGAAATAAAAAACCCTTAACATTATTACTTAAGGTGCCTTGTTGCAAAGGTCCTAGGTACATACATCTACAAAACAGATAGCTATTACTACCTAACATCTCAACCCATGACTTCCCCTAAATCCAATATGACCTGGTCAGCTATGGGAGACTTTCCAAACCTCTTGCACAGGGATTTGCTGCCATTCATAGGGCGTACATGAATGAGGACGTTTGATCATAGACTATTACAATGTACTACCACAGAGTAGAAAATAAATCCAACCGAACATTATAGTTATAACGGAGAAGACAAAGACGAAATTGCATATCATTTTCAAATTTTTCCATATTCATTAGGTTCATTAACCCTTTTAACATCTTTTCACTGTGGGCACTATTTTTAGAAATTCAGATTATGTGTTTAAATTTGTGTTGAATTGGTCAGCACCTTGATTGACATGAGCAACTACAATAAAGCATCTGGATAGAGAAGAGGGATATAATGGGAGGAGGCAAAAATAGGGAAGGACCCTTTTTCATAAGACATTCAAACAGAAAGGATTAAAAAAAAGAGTAAACAAACAAAAAGTGTTCACAGTGCAACATGCCAGATTCGTAGTTTCATTTGAAACCAACAGCAAATCATGAAACGTCATGAAAAAATGTAAGTAAAGGTAAAATCTCCTAGAGTAATTACTAAATGAAGTTAAAATTACCACACTGATCAGTAAACCCCAGAAGAAAAGTGAACAGCGCTTACATTTCAGGTCTTTCTTAAAGATCATACAACTTTTCAAAAGTTAATGCATAAAATTGGTAGGTAGGTTTGGCCACGCTGCACAATTTTTTTTTTTTAAAAAATACAGTATACAGAAAAAATTCTTATATTCCCCATTTGAATCATAAGCTTGAAACCTAAGAGCAAAAGATCAAGGATTTTAAGTTATTTACAAATACAGCAGGTTCATCCACCATAGAGGCTTGGCTTCTGTCCCAAGGAGATGTCACCTTCTCTGGCAGTAACTGTCCATTCTCTGTCCTCACAGGGGGCTGTTCCCTCTACTGCTCATCAGTCATTTTGAACAGTTCCAACAGGGCCCCAACAGCTCCAAAGTAACCCTACAGAACAATGGGAAACTTCTGTAAGATTGTCTCTGAACTCTAGCCAAATCACTACTACTTTTAATTATTCTAGGAATACTACCCCAAACTTTATAGATGAAAGAAAACATTTAAAGTGGAACTCGTGGCTCGGGATAGAGGTTGGTAGTAGTGGGCTTGCATGTTTAGCATGAGTGAGGCTATGGAGTTGATCTCCAGCACCAAAAAACCAACCAATCAACCAACCAACCGACCAACCAACCAACTGACCAACCAATGCTGATCTCTTTGCTATGAAACACAATGGAATAGTCAAATAACCATAATTTATCCGAATACATATTCTTTATCTATATTAACATATGTAAAGTTCTTAGAACTATATTTGGTACCTGGTGTCCTTTTGCCTCCCTGTAAAATAGAAGTTCATAGTCTATGAAAATGAGTTTCTAAAACCCAGAAGTTTTAGGAATTAGTATCTTACAGTGTGTTGGGCTGTTGTATACCTATACATAATACTATAGACTGGGAGGCTTATAAACAACAGAACTTCAATTCCAGGTTCTACAGGCTAGGAAGTTCACCATCAAGGTGTCTGGCAAGGGCCAGCTCCTCATAGCTTTCTGTTGTCACTGTAAATAGACATTGTAGCAGGCCAAGGCAGCTCTCTTGAGCTTCTTTTATAAAGACGCTAATTCTATTCAAGAGAGCTCAGCCCTGATGATCTAATCACCTCCCAAAGGCCTCACCTCCTAACACCATCATACTGGGGATTAGGATTTCAATATATCAAGCAGGGCGGGAACTTCAACACACAATATCCAGTCTGCTGGCAACCTGAATTCCAAAGCACTGGAGACTCCACTCCTCTACTGTTTGCCTGACTCAGTCGTTACCTTAGATATGGGGTTGTGTATGTTGGGACAAGAGAGGACCTCTGCTGTCACAGCTGCCAGCTGTCACTGACTGAGGCCTTACCACATTCTCCTTTGATTAACCAACTACCAGTCCTCACTGTTGGAGAAGAAAGCTTCCAATTTACAGAACAGTTATTTTTCTTAATATAACTGCAAAGTTTAAATGGCAAATTTTCTACTTGAACAATTTAAAAACACATCCTAAATCAAATGTCAGACAACTCACAGTACATTCCATAAAGGACAGTTAAGTCCATGCAAGCTTGACCTACCTCATGTTCCAAAAACAGAGCTTTCAGCTGTCCTTTAGACCAAAAGTCCATGGCATAGGCTAGCAACTTCATAGAGACCATATTAATTCTGAGAAAATTCCCAACAAACACAACTCTGTCAATATTCTGGAAAAATAAGAGAGGAAAAACAATTGAGCCATGGCATAAAAAAATTAGCATTTAGTAGACTCGGTGCTCTATACATCATTCAAGGTTATAACCTTGCCCAGTGAAATTTTTTAGGTGGAACTATTGCAGCAACTTCAAAATGAAGCTGAACCAACCCAACAGAGCAACCCATAGGAACAGAAGGATAAGATTCTAGCTGGTCAAGGCAGAAAGTGATAATGGACAGCTTGTTTTGCTAGTTTAGTTACTATGCTAGGTTGCACCAGGTCTGACATTTCTTTAGCTTATAACATATATGTAATTGTAAATGGAGTCAAGGTTACAGTTAAATTTTCTTGCATATCCCTCAGCCCTTCAAGCGCCAAGCATAAAATACTATTATAATCAACTCATAAGTTAAATAGTTATATGGTTTGCTCATCTAATGAGCTTTGGGATATAAAAAATAATATTCTATCTCTGCTCTCAAGATAGATATGTGGAACATCCTGTTTGAGCAATATGGTAACAATACACACCATGGATGTAGATGTGCATTCTGAATACACACTTAGGACACTCTCCTGTGATCCTGTGCTTGCAGACATGCTTCTGGCCTCCTAAGCCTCCAGCTCCAGCCGTTCCCCCAGGTATTTCTTCAGCTAATGGCTAAGCTCAGTCATCTACCACACAAAGGCTGTAACCACTCAGCGCACAGTTGGGTGCCATGGTCACTCAGATCAAAGGCTAGGGAGTCTGTGAAGATGGCATTATTTTCTGCTCAGTCTACCAGGAGTAATCAAGGTCTAGGAACATCATCTTTTATCTGTCTTGAGTTTTAACAATGCATGTTCATGAAGAAATTATTAGACACTGAAAATCTGTGGGTGGAGGGCTCAGAGGCACTTTTAATTAAGTTTCCATCAGAAAAAACAAAAAAAAACAAAAAACAACCCGTTAGCCACAAAATACCCAGACTAAGGAACGCTCAACATAAGAAACCCAAATTTAAGAGGAATTTAAATGTAGGTAGCACAAAGTAAAATTTCCAAAACCCAGTCTTATATTAAAACCCAGTCTTATATTATCTTGAGAGAAAGACAGATGGAGTAGATTTAAATTTGATGAACATTTCAAATTTCAAATAAATTCTAGGTAAGTCAAAATTGCAATTATTTAACAAAAAAAGAGCAAGAAGAGAGACTAAGAAAAACATAAGTGAATTCTTTTTACAAATAACATTAATCCTGACGGGATGGAATATGCCTTTAATACCATCACCAGGAAGACAGAAGCAGATGTATCTCTGAGACATCAAGGTTAGCCTGTTTTACATAGTGAGTTTCAGGCCAGGTAGGGTTACGGGAGACCCTGGCTCAAAAGACCTAAGTAAATGACTGAATTAATTAATTGGTTAAAATAGAAGAGGTATAATGCCCAGAATCCATTAAAATTATTTATGTACTTGAAAAATTAAATATTTATTCCAGGGAAATCATCACCACAAACCAGTCTAAAGAGGAAGCAATAAATAGAAAATATCTTCCATACATATCACATGATATGGATTTATTATTAATAAAGAGTTCCTTATTTATGTACTTGAAAAATTAAATATTTATTCCAGGGAAATCATCACCACAAACCAGTCTAAAGAGGAAGTAATAAATAGAAAATATCTTCCATACATATCACATGATATGGACTTATTATTAATAAAGAGTTCCTATGAATCAATAAGAAAAAGAAAGCAGGGGCTGGAGAGATGGCTCAGCACTTAAGAGCACTAACTGCTCTTGCAGAGGACCTGAGTTCAGTTCCCAGCACCCACATGGTGGCTAACAACCATCCATAACTCCAGTTTCCAGGGGATCCGACACTCTCTTCTGACCTCCACATGCATGACACTGGTGCACTTACACACATGCAGGCAATATACTCATACACATAAAATAAAAATAAAATTTTTTTTAAAAAAAAGAAACCAGCAGTCCAACAAAGGGTGAACAGTATGAATAGACTGCTCATACATGCACAAAAAGGGGAAACACTAGGCCAGAGAGATGGTGCAATAGGCACCACACTTGACAATCTGAATTCTATCCCTGTAACTTACACAAGAGAACTGATTCTCACAAGCTGTCCTCTGACCTCCACATATACTCTATAGCATGTGTGTACCCTGCCCTACTCATACAGGAACACAAATAATAAACAATAAAAAAATTAAAGAGGAAAATACTAATAGCTATTTAACAAATGAAAATACTTTACTTATATTACAGTATAATTTCTTTTCTAATATATTAGAAAAGATCACGAGGTTTAACAACCTTCTTAGAAGAAACTTGTATTTTCTGCTTGCTAAAAATATAAATTACAACCACCTTTATGGAAGGAATTTCATAATATCTTTCAAAATTATAATGAACATATCTTTGACTCATTAATTCCCCAGGAATTCATCTCAGAGATATACCAACAGTTATGCAAATTGTGTTGTATACATAAATGTATATAAGAATATATACTATATATAAGTACATGGCAGGACTTTTAATAAAGCAAAAGGCTAAAAAGTTCTAAATATCACTAGAAAGTGATCAAATCAGTAACTTCATGTGTTAGAATGCTAAGTAGCCACTACAATATAAAATACAGCAATCTCAAGATATGCTATGTAAAAATGTAGGAGGCAATATTTTCAGAGGTGCACATTAGAAGTTATGTGTTGACTGAACAGTGGTAGAATTTACTTTCTGATTTCTTAGCCAGAAAGAGAAGAGTAAGGCTAGGCATGGTGGCTCCTGCCTTTGATCCCAGCACTCAGGATCCCTGTGAGTTTGAGGCTAGCCTGGTCTACAAAGTGAGTTCCAGGCCAGCCATGGCTACATGGTGGGGGGGGGGAGAAGCAATTGTTTAGTATAAACTGATGGATACACAGATGTTCTCTGTCCTTTATGTGCAGTATGTCCAACAATTTTCATAATAAAAACCTGACCAAACAAAACAAGATACAGACTAGTACATAGGGGGTGCATCATATGGTTTATGGTTCTTTCATTTAACAGAGAATGCTTTGTAGAGTTTGTTACCTTTGGAACCGAGCATGTATTTATCCTATAATACATACAACATAGGACAGAAACAAATTAAAAATAAGAGGCTTTATTTAATGAGATTCAAATTGAGGGACTGGGTAGGAATGGTGATTCAATTTCCTGTTTGCCTTTCTGCTATGTCTAGAACTATACGCTATACATTCATATCATCTATTCAAAAATGAAATAAAAGGTGCCATGCAGGCTGTTGGGGGAGAAAGAACAGCAACAGTCTTACCCAGCTATGGATGCTGCTGTGCAACAATCTCAACCAGCCAGGCAAGATGTGCCATTGGTGTAATAGTGGCAGGTCTGCTAAGTGGAGTAACCAACTGCTTTCTGATTGGATCTGAGGCTAGCTTCACAGGAAGGAACTCAGGTCTGGTAGTATAAACCTAATCAAAACCTGGGGCTGTGGTGTCCATAGGCCTTAGTAGGGAAGCCACTGTCATTGTTTTTGCTAAATGGACACAATGTACCTGTCAAATTGCCTTCTACATAACCATGTTTATGCCTCCAGACTAGTGCTACTCCCAGGAAGCTTCTTTTTGCAGTTGTCAGTGGTAACTAGCTACAGAGACTCATAATTGGTCAACGTGCTGTGAATAAATGACTGTTGAATGCTCAGCCATAGATGGGCTCAAGGAACATAGTGGAAGAAGGGACGGGAAGAACATAAGCGCTAGAAGTGAGGGGAGTGATGTGGATGCTGACTTCCGGGCCTGGCAAGGCTGTAGCTGTGATAACTTGTGCACATCCTGTCATGGAGTTGGGGAGGTTCATAAGACCCCACCCCTCCTTGAGGATTTACATGTAGTTAGCAGGCGATGAGGGAAGGATAGGCATTTTCTTTAGTTGTGTAGTCACTGGTTAAGTGCCACGCTCCTGTAAATAAACCTTCACCAATGTTCCTGTAAAACGACCCTAATGAAAATCATTGGTCATCCAAACAGGCTCACAGTAGCAGGGAAGCTAGTCTGGATGAGGAAGGGGATTAGTGAGAGTGTTAGGGGCAGACCAGACAAGGGGAAGCACATATGGTCAATATATATTATGTACATGTGTGAAAATGTCATATTGAAACCTATTGTTATGTGTAATTGATAATGGTTGACAAAAGAATAAGAAATTTTAACGTTGAGGAGAACATTCCATAGCATGTCAATCATCAAAACAAAAAACAATTTAAAATCCCCACATGTGGCAACCTGGTCTTTGAAATGGTTCTCAAATCATCAACTCCAGAGAGCAATGCGAGGACAGCAGACCTGGCTCTCACAGGGAAACCCAATGCTGCCGGTCTCCAGGCTGTTCCCTGGGAGTGTGCATTGATTCTGCAGCCTTTCAAGGAGCCTCGGTCTCATGGTAATCAGTGAGTCCCTTCATCCAACATTCAAAGTAGTTGCTCAAACCAGCAAAGAACATGCGCACATTTTCAAATGTGAAAAATGAAACCAGCTGCCCTCCCCTAAAGGGATTATGACACCTGTGAACAGATCCACTGACTCACTTATCCAGAGTGCAAGGCAGAAGGTGGCTCTGTGGAAAGCAGGGGAAAGGGCACTGTTGCTCTGTTGGGCAAAGGGTGTCACTATGTAACTGACCTTTGAGAGCCATGAGCACAGCCAGATACCCACATATGAGTCCTAAGGCTTGTTTAGCTACTTGGAAAACACCCTGTAAAGGTTAATATGCCAAAAAAACAAACTCTTGTTTCCAATGGATCTCATGACTGAAGTGGACTTTGAGAAGGCATGCCTCTGGAATACCCTTCCCTGACCATCAGCTTCCCATTTAACTCCATATGAACCAAAGACTTCCGATAAGTTCTGTTATCCAGATGCCAGTAATATACTCAGTGTTGAGGAAGGAGGTATCTCTTTTGTAACCCAAAGTTCAAAGGCAGGACCAGCATTTAAAAAAAAGCTTCAGACCCTAACACCCCACATTCAGCTGGGAGGGGGCTAAAAAAGTTTTTTAAATATCTGTAATCTTCCATTTCTTGATCTAAGTGGCAGCTATGCAATTGTGTGTGTGTGTGTGTGTGTGTGCGTGTGTGTGTGTGTGTGTGTGTACTTAACTGCGCTGTGTATTTACAATTTG